TCATACTTAATACATTTTACCTTTAAATTATAACAATATAAATATATACATTATTTTACCATTTTAATTTGACTCTTAGATAATCTTTATATGTGGACTTTACATCTATTTTCCAGCCAACTGTACCATATATTCCAAATCTTGTAATATTGCGTTTCTTCTCTATCTTTTAGACTGCATTAATAAAAGGATAGAATGAAGATTATATGAAGTTCTAGTACCACTTTACAAAGCCTTAGTAAGACCACACTTGAAGTACTGACTCAGATTGTTGGGGGCAATATGCTGACTGTAAAAATGTTTAGAGAAGGCTGTCAAGCACTGTGAAGTGGTGCTATTGCTAAGTCTAAATGCTATTGCTATTGCTAGTTCGGGTCATTACAATATAAAAAAGATGTGATTCTGGAAAGAGTGCAGGGAAGAGTAACAAGGATGATTAGGGGGTTGGAGGCTAAAAACATGAAGAACGATTGCAGGAATTGGATATGTCTAATTTCAAAATGAAATTCAATAGTGAAAAAAGTAAGGTTCTACATTTAGGCAAGAAAAACAAAATGCACAGGTACAGTATATGTGGTACCTTGCTCAATAGTAGTAACTGTGAGAGGGATCTTGGAGTCCTAGTGGACAACCATTTAGATATGAGCCAGCAGTGTGCAGCAGCTGCCAAAAAAGCCAACAGTTCTAGGCTTCATAAACAGAGGGATAGAATCAAGATTACATGAAATGTTAATACCACTTTATAATGCCTTGGTAAGGCCACACTTGGAATACTGCATTCAGTTTTGGTTGCCACGATGTAAAAAAGATGTTGAGACTCTAGAAAGAGTGCAGAGAAGAGCAACAAAGATGATTAGGGGACTGGAGGCTAAAACATATGAAGAACGGTTGCAGGAACTGGGTATGTCTAGTTTAATTAAAAGAAGGACTAGGGAAGACATGATAGCAGTGTTACAATATCTCAGGGGCTGCCACAAAGAAGAGGGAGTCAAGCTATTCTCCAAAGCACCTGAGGGTAGAAACTAATCAAGGAGAGAAGCAACTTAGAACTAAGAAGAAATTTCCTGACAGTTAGAACAATTAATCAGTGGAACAACTTGCCTCCAGAAGTTGTGAATGCTCCAACACTGGAAATTTTTAAGAAGATGTTGGATAACCATTTGTCTGAAGTGGTGTAGGGTTTCCTGCCTAAGCAGAGGGTTGGACTAGAAGACCTCCTAGGTCCCTTCCAACTCTATTCTATTCTATTCTATTCTATTCTATTCTATTCTATTCTATTCTATTCTATTCTATTCTATTCTATTCTATTCTATTCTAGTGAAAAGAAGGGCTGGGGAGACATGATAGAAGCATTCCAATATTTGTGGGGCTGCTACAAAGACAAGGGGGTTGAACTATTTTCCCAAGAACCAGAAGGCAAGACAAGAAAGTTAACCAAGGAGAGATCCAACCTAGAACTAAGGAGAAATTCCCCAACAGTGAGAAAAATTAACCAACTTGTGTTGGTTAATTAACCACTTGTGTTCAGAAGTTGTGGGTACCCCATCACTGGAGGCTTTTAAGAAGAGATTAGACAGCCACTTGTCTGAAATGGTATAGATTCTCCTGCTGGAGCAGGGATTTGGACTAGAAGACCTCCAAAGTCCCTTCCTACTCTGTTATTCTGTGTATTCTATATCCAATAAGTCTTACTATATGCTTCGCTTATTTATTTATTTATTTATGTAATTTATATGCCGCCCTTCTCTCAAAGGACTCAGGGCGGCTTGCAAAAGGAACATAAAAAATTACATAAACATTAAAATCAGTTTAAAATTAATTAAAATAAATTCAAATTCAAATTTTTTAAAATCATCCCTATGGATTCAGCCCATTTGGTAAAAAAGCCACGTCTTCAATTCGCGGCGGAAGGAGAGGAGGTCAGGGGCTGTCCTGAGGCCGGTGGGCAGCCCATTCCAGAGGGTCGGCACTCCCACACAGAATGCTCTCCCCCTGGGGGCCACCAGCTGACATTGTGTGGCTGACGGCACCCTGAGGAGGCCCGCTCTGTGTGAGTGCACCGGACGATGGGAGGATGGCAGGAGGTGATCCTGCAGGTACCCCGGACCTAAGCCATGTAGGGCTTTATAGGTGAGCACCAGCACCTTGAAATGAACCCGAAGAACCACCGGTAGCCAGTGCAGCTCGCGCAGAAGAGGTGTCACACGGGAGTACCAAGAGCCCCCGTAACAACCCACGTGGCCGCATTCTGGACTAACTGTAGTCTCTGGGTGCATCCCAAGGGCAGCCCCATGTAGAGGGCGTTACAGTAGTCCAACCGAGACGTAACAAGGGCATGAGTGACCGTGGCAAGGGCATCCCGAACTAGGAAAGGGCGCAACTGGTGTACCAGGCATACCTGGGTGAAGGCCTCCCTGGTCATGGCCGTCAAATGATCTTCCAAAGATAGCTGTGAGTCCAGGAGGATACCCAGATTGTGGACCCTTTCTGAGGGAGTAAGAACCTCCCCTCCCATCACTAGTGACGAGGCCACTAGATCGCGAGATGCCGGTATCCACAGCCACTCAGTCTTGGATGGGTTGAATCTGAGTCTGTTTCTTCCCATCCAGGCCCGCACTGCTTCCAGGCAATGGGACATCACAGAAAGGGCATCCCCATCCGGGGTGGAGATGTAAAGCTGAGTGTCATCAGCATATTGATGGTACCTCACCCCGAAACCATGAATGATCTCACCCAGCGGCTTCATATAGATGTTAAAGAGCTTAATTTACCTTATGTGCACAGTTGCAGTCTACCAATCAAGTTTTGTTTTTAACTGTTGCTCTAGTTTCTTTCTTTCTTTCTTTCTTTCTTTCTTTCTTTCTTTCTTTCTTTCTTTCTTTCTTTCTTTCTTTCTTTCTTTTTTTTTTTTTTTTGCTTTCTGGCAGGCCAAAAAGGTTGTGCATGTTGCTCATGGCAGGAAAGAAAAGGAGGTGGTTTTGTGTTCTGAGGTTGCAAATGGAAGATATCACTCTTCACATGTCCTCCATTTGAAGAAAACAAATAATAGTGCAAGTAAGAAAATAAGGACATCAAAAAAATTGTTTTCTCCTTGGAGGAGTATTTGTTTTTTTGTTTTGTTTTATATTGAATATTACAAAATTTTGATGCAGGATTACTGCCTGAAGAACTTCCCCCCTAAGGACCCAACTGCCTAATTTCCATCTCATTTTTTCTATATTTGTAGATTGGACCTGAATAGTAATTAGATAACTTTGGCTGGATTCTGTCTTCAATATGCAAATTATAGTGAAAAGTAGCTGGTGGTTCTGAGGTTTCTCAAACTGATTATGAAGCATTTGGAAGTTGGAGGAATAGATAAATACAATACTGTGCCAATTAATTTCTTGGATGTATTTTATATTTTAATATTCTACTGAGGGAAACAGCCCCCTCCCATACCTCATTGATTTTTATAGATTTTAGGGTAATACGAGAAAAGCTGCATTTTCACTAATGTCTTTTTTTAGTCAACAGATTTGTCATAATTAACTATTATGACAAATGAAGACTGTTTTATAAGGGAACTTCTTAGTATTTTGTTTTCAATAAATAATGTTATTATTTCAGTTATGGTGCAACTGTGGAATAAAATAATGAACTTAATAATCAGTACACTTTTGGGGAAATATTATAGAAATTGAGACTGCCTATTGCTGAGTGTGATTAGATTTCCACATAGCAAACTTAACAATAATTTATAGTAATTGTGAATTATTATTATTATTTACTTTATTCATTAAACATGAAACTCAATTAACTGAACATTCAAAAATGCATCACAAATACTATTATTATTGTTGTTGTTGTTGTTATTATTATTGTTATTGTTAGTATTATTAAATTATTTATCCACTTGACCAATTAGTTAATGGACACAATATATGGAAAATTTTCTTTTTAAAGTAGATTGATTGCAAAGTATTTATAAGGCTGCTAACTCAGAATGACTCATAGAAGTGCATAAATCAAAACTACATCCAGTTATAATAAAAGCAGAAGAAAGCAACAATCCTGATCTTATTAGGTTAAAAGAAATAGAACAAATAATAGTAAGATTATTGTTTATGTCTAATAGTATTTGGATAAGGCCTTCCAAAATCCACATGTAGACCTCCTGAAGAGGCATGAACCCATTATGAGGGGGAGATTTCATTTCTACAACATCTGCTGAAAGATAAAGTCTGCCATGTATGTTCTTCTAGAAAATCTTCTCTTGCTTGACCTCTCTTGCTGACAGCTTTCTCCTTCAGAGGAAGGAGGAAGACTCAGGGAAAACAGTTACTCTGGACATGTAGGTCAGGAAGTTCTCACTTAGTGACTACTTGCTGAGTGACCATTTGAAATTGAGAAGCTAATAGGAAAAGAATTTAAGACGTCCTAAAGTGCTAAAATTTTAAAAGCACAATACCAAAAACTTTCAATGAGAAAAATAATGGAGAAAAACAGAAGAGTCAGTAGATTATTTTTTGTTCCTAGTGAAAGTCATTTGAAAAATCACAACAAGAAATATGCTTATATAGATTAACTAATGTTCTTTTATTCTGTAGGCTATCATTTTTTAAAACATTTGTTTTACAAATGTGATCACTTGGTAAGGCTATAACATTAATAGCAGATTTATAATGTATTAGCATTTATGCTGCCAATACAAAAATAATTCCATTTAATGTACCCTTAAATCTGTTTTTATGAGCACAATTTGATCAATCAGTACAGTGCAGTGAGTGTTTATTGAAAAATGGAGTACATTTTCTATAATATGTGAATGTAAATATCAGGGCTTCATTTTCTCGATTAGTCTTTTCTGTTTCTGCAACAAATTGTCTTTCATTTCTCATTCTCTGTATGCAGATATTAATGAAGAGAAAAAATACAACTAAACATATTTAGTAGCAACACAACTAAAGATGTAATAACCTACAGTTACCAACAATCTTTAATCTGAAGTATAGATCGGTAAATGTCAAATCGCTGCTAGAGCTTTTGCCTGACAAAATTGGAATCAAAACACTTAAATGTTAGAGATTCAATAATCAACTCAACACTGAGCAATTACAATTTTTTTCTAAATCTGTTCCTTTCTTTTTTAGAAAATAATTGGCAAAGCTCTAGTGCTTCCAGGAAGTTAAGCAGGATTTCAGTTTATATGTCATTAGTTACTTCTCTCCAGTATAAGAAACAGCAGAACTACACTATCCAAGATGATGTCCCCTGATGCCTGCCTACTGGACTGCTTTTCTTATCCTAGTTTCTCTTGCCTGCTGGTGTTCTGTCCCCGTACCACGCACACACACCCACAGATGGCCCGGAGTTAATAAGCCACACGACAAAACTCTTTGATGATAAAGCTGGCAGCAACCCAGTGGCTAGCTGCCAATTCAGACTTTACTCACACAAAACAAAGATTAGACTGCAGCATTACGATAAAACAGGCAGAGTGTCAATAATACAAGGATTAGTCCAAATGCAGTCCAATAAAGCAGGCAAAGTCCAGTAACGCAGAGATCATGGAGTATTTCCAGTTTTTGCTCGTCACAAACTGAACCGGCCACCACACCCACATTTATACCCTGTGGGGTGTGGTCCAGTGACTCAGCTGCTCTCTGGCATGCCTTCCCCTCTGCTGTGCACGCTTCTCCCTGCGCCTCTGTCGAGGGTCCAGCCAGCACTTATCTTCCTCGTCGCTGTCCACCTGTGGCTACGGGGACGTGCTTGGCTCTGAGCCTATCATTTGGCCTTCGGTGTCCTCCAGAGGCATTGCCGGAGAGGAGAGTCCTGGAGAGGGAGGCCTTGCCAACTCCTCCCCCTCACTCTCAGAGTCTGCATCTGTCGATAGCCCAGGCTCAGGCAATGGAGCCACAACAGCTGGGTCCTGTACCTCCATAGTTTGCTTTGCCCAGCACCTGGCTGCATGGGAACCATGGGAACTTTATCAGTACCGAAATATCATTGGGAGCCAGAGTTCTTCCTCTGGATCTTAACATCTCAGATAGGAGTTGCATTTAGGAGATGGGAGTTGCAATCTCCTGGACCTGTCTGGCACCTGTTGTGCACTGTCACATACCTGCTCTTACTTGTTCATCCTGCCAGACTGCCCTGAACCCCTGTACAACCTCCCCCTTAACGTATTCCACAATTTTGCTATTCAGTATATCTTACAATGCACCCCAGTGTATACAGTTATTTCTTTTCTACTGTAAATTCATAGAAATCCAATGGAACTTATGACACTGAAAATAATGATTGACCTAGGACTAAGAAGAGATATGCAAGAATCAGGCTAAGCATTCTACCCTTATTTATTGTGAACATTCTTAAAAAACAGAATAGGATTACATTTCAGAACCTTATGAAAAGACAAAGCGTAACAAACTGTGTAGAAATTGGTGCTGGGGGCTTGAATGACACAGTATTTTGAATATAGCACACATTTGCTCCTTCTTTGCTGTTCTCAACACTCCCAATTCTCTGTTGCCATCAAAATTTGACACACAAGGACACCCCACTCCCATCACCAGTCTTTCTTGTGATATCATCTATAGTAGTGTGCTAACACATACTGTATCAATATCAGAAGTTGGCATCATGCCATAATAGGTGATTTGTGTCCTGGGCTGATTTGTTCAATTATTCATTTATTGTTTTCTTAGCTGCTCATGGTATTCCCAAGAGACTTCTCCAGCATCAAAGTCCAAAGGGTCAATATCCTTTCTATCCTGCTTTTTCAGCATCCAACTTCCATTTCCATAGAGTGCTACAGTGGAAACTGTTGCCTACATGAATCTGATCATCCTGACATTTGAATTTCCAAAGTCTTCAAGCTAATCTCCCAAGTAGTCTGTGGTTTATTTCCTGGCTTTCTTAACTTCTGTTATTCTACTGGTTCCTTTACTTTTTTCTTCTGTCCAATCATGTCCAATTATCAGACATTATCAGAGGCAGCTTGGACATTCCTGCAGTTTTCTTGGCAAGGATTTTTTGAAGTGATTTGCTATTGCCTCCTTCCTAGGGTTGAGAGAAAGAGACTGGCCCAAATCCTAGCTGGCTTTGTGCCTAAAGCGAGCCTGGCAGTCACTCCCAGTTTCTAGCCTGGTGCCTTAATCATTACATTGAACTGGCTGTCTTGCTGTTTATAGTCAATCCTAAAAGACAGAAACTATCCATCAGTTTAATGTCATCACGGTTGGTTATAAGGCTTTACCTTGTATCATTAGTTTTTTCTCTTTTTTTCTCCAGTTTTACATCCTTTTCCCTCACTGTGTCCCTTGATTTTTATTACTGGCGCTTACAAATAATTTGCATTTTCAGCTACCAGAATAGTGTCATCAGCATAGTGCAGGTTGTTGAAGTTTCTACCTCTAATTTTAAACTGTGCTCATGATCTTCCAATTCAGTTTCATTAGATAACATTCTGGGTTGAATAAATCAGGGAAGGTATACAACCTTGTCTTACTCCTTTGCCAATTTGGAGCCAGTCTGTTTCACCATGTTCTATCCAGGACTGTGACTTCCTGATCTGGGACAGCAATGCCTTCATTCCCTGCTTGCAAGTTCCTTTATTCATTGGATTTATACCATATTGTTCAGTAGGTGTTTTTCCCTTGTGCTCATCAGATTTTATTTACTCAAGACTTTTTAAAAGGTAAGTTTCTCCAGTACCTCCAGCTGATCATCACTGGGAGCACTAAGCTGCACATTGTCTTATCTAGGGCTGTCTTGGGAATACTGAAGTCTAGAGGACTCAAGAGTTTGGCGAGCAATTTCAGTCTCTGCCAAAGGAATTTTATAATGCTAAGGAGCAATGTGTAGCATCTGAGAGCATTTCATTCCTCATCAGCCTGTTAAGCTATATGTGCTTATGCTCATAAGCCATGATAGTTGTGGTAGCAAATGCAGTTTAAATATCCTTTGGTATCTGTGGATGATAAACACATCCTTAATATATTTGTCAGGATTCAGACAACATTGAGACAGCTCTGAGGTTTGTTTATAGTGTTAAAAGGTGTCTCAGATGCCACTTTAGAAGATATGATCTAAACATTGATTACTATTATGTTGCCTGACCTCCAGGTAACCTGTAGTCTTACTCTCTCATTTGAGAATCACTGAGGTTGAATTCTTACTGAAGGAAAAATTAAGCTCAAACTGTCTCAGGGAAGCAGATTGATAAAGGTTAGGTAAACATAATAGTACTTGAGAAAGGAAAGGAACAAAGAATTATGATTAGTATTTAATTAGCATTATGTTTGATATAACACTACCTAACATCCCCAGTACATGGAATTTATCAGTGTAATAGGAATTGTGAACTCTTTGCACATAGAGGGGTAAAATTGGCTAAAGGAGTTATTATATAACTTTGGGAGCATAAATCTATACCTGATTTGCAGCAGTGGACTGCTGATACATGTTGTTTATTAACATTTGAATTAGTGCTTAATCTGGACAAATATTGTATAGTTCTTCTGAATGGAATATAAATGTCTAGGTTATTTTTCATTTCAGTTTCTACATCCCATTTTTATTGTTATATATATGTTTTGTTTCAACAAAATATAAAATATATTAACAATAAACAATGCAGTTTTCTACATGACCTATTCAAGAAATGTTGCCAAATATTTCTCACAGAGTCCCCTGCCATCATGAGTTTTGAGACTTTTCTACAGGTGTTCCTTCTTCCTCTTTCCTACCTGCATGTTTAATATTGGAACAGGGATTGGCACTCTTTTTAGAATAGTCCAAAAGACATGCAGGCTTTCAGAAGTTGTGGGAGCTTCATCCCTGAAAGCTTTCAAGAAGAGACTGGACTCCCATTTGTCAGAAATGGTGTAGGGCCCTGATGGCAAGCCTAGGGCACATGTAGCCATATCGGTGGGCACACAATCTCCGCTTCGCCAGCTGATATTTGGGACTTCTGGGCCCACCAGAAGTAGGGAAACAGCCTATTTCCTGCCTCCAGAGGGCCTCGGGGGGTGATGGGGAAGGCCTGCTTTTCTCTCTCCCCAGGCTCCAGAGCCTTTCTAGGCATCTGGGGAGGGTGAAAACGGCCTTCCCCATGCCCCTGGAGGCCCTCCGGAGGCCGGAAACGGCCCGTTTGCCAACTTCCAGTGGGATCGGAAGGCCCATTTTTCACTCTCTGGTAGGACCGGAAGTTGTCAAACAGGCCATTTTTGGCCTCCGGGGGTGGGTGGGGAAGGCTGTTTTTGCCCTCGCCAGACTCCTAGAAAGGCTCTGGAGCTTGGGGAGAGAGAAAAACGGGCCCACCGGGCCATCGTGTGCCAGGAGCGGGTGGGTGGGTCACATGCACATGTGTGGGGGTGGGGCGCATAGACTTATGGGTATGGGCACACATGGGCACAACCCCACCACGCTCCCCCCACTCCTGGCACACGATGGAAAAAGGTTTAGTCATCACTGATGTAGGGTCTCCTGCTTGGGCAGGGGGTTGGACTAGATGACCTAAAAGGTTCCTTCCAACTCTGTTAATCTGTTAATCTCCTTGTATCTATAATTGTATTCCTTATTAAGATGATCACTATAAAATTATATATAGCTTAGATTTTAACTTATTGAATCATATAGTTGAAAGCAGTGGTGGGATTCAGCCAGTTTGCGGCGTTTTGGGCAAACCTGTTAATTTTTTGCGTAGTTCAGTGAACCGGTTGATCCCACTGCTGGCTAGCCCTGCCCCGCCCACCAGGGTTGCCATTCAGGGTGGGGAGGCTGCAGGGGCATGACTGGGAGCTGTCCTGATCAGCTGGGAGGCTGGTCAGTCAGTTCAGTCAGACCTTCCAACTTCGCGAGATCTTTCCCCCCCCAAGAAGTTGGAAGGTCTGACTGAACTTTTTTTTAACTGGTAGTCACATGGTCTTCTTTTGTGGCCCTGCACGCAGCAAAATGGAGCTGGAAAGCAGGTTAGTGAGGGAATGGTGGTTGTTCTGGAACGGGGAGGAAGTGAGGATTTTGCATTACGATTCCTTATAAGTAAGTAAGAACCAGTAAAATTAAAATTAATTGGGAGATTTAATTGATTATTTTAGTAGTTATTTTTATTGTTTTCATCGTTTTAATTTTTGTGAGCCACCCCGAGTCCTTTGGGAGAAGGACGGCATATAAGTATAATAAAATAAAATAAAATAAATAAATAAATAAATAAAAGAGGAATGGAAAAATCTCTATTTGTAGATCAGCGTTTTTCAGTCTTGGCAAGTTTAAGATGGGCAAACTTCATCCTGCCTGGGGAATTCTGGGAATTGAAGTCCATGCACCTTAAAGTTGCCAAAGTTGAGAAGTATGAGAAGTTGCCAAAGTTGAGAAGTACACTAGAGTTTAGGAGTTTCCATTCCTGTTTTGAGTTTGGTGCAATTAAATAAATCAGTTGTGGTTTCCTTAACAAATATTGATTAAAGTGATATGAACCATTACTAGACTTTTTGTGAGAAACTGAAATTAAAAATAGATCCGGGCTTTGATGATTAGATATGGGATTATGGAAATAATGTAGACAAATGTTAATTTTAGAGTAAGAGTTTGATATAAGTATTTTTTTACTTATAGCTGTACCAAAGAAAGTTGGAAGTCATTCTTTTTTGGTTTTCACTTACACTTTCATTCCTTTTCTTTCCTGAGTCTTTTCTTTTTTCAAATCTGTTTTTATTTGTTTATCCCTTAGCTTTGTATTTTTTGATGTTTGAAGGATCAAATACTCAGTCATTATAATTCTACATTCCTTATTTATAGAAATCATATCAAAATTTAGAATGAGGGACTATTCTGCATCTGCCCTCAAACGTTCTGTAAATAAGAGTTTCCCAGCATTCCTTTAGGAACCTCCAACATTCAAACTGTGGTTACTCATCCTAAAATGAATCCTCTTTACCTGGAGCTTCAAAATTTGCTGTTTGCTGGGGAAATGTGTAGCTAAAAGTCAATCTACATTTAGTATACATCTGACTTTGGGGATATTTCTTCATAACCAAACAGAAGTGTATTTTCTGTGCAGTTCACACCCCTTGCTTGTGGGATCTGGATGTCACAAAGCAAAGCCCATATTTTGTAATTAACCCCCAAGGCCCATTTTGGCTGGCAGAGTCCTGCAGGAGGCTGAGTGCTGTCATGCCCCTGGCAACGCCCACCTAGCCACGCCCACCCAGCAGGTTGTTAGGGCAGAGAACTGGTTGTTAAATTATTTGAATCCCACCACTGGTTGAAAGGCACCATTTAGGTCGCTTAAGTCCTACGCAAAGTGCAAAAACCCAGCTAAAAGCCTCAGCTTGAATATGTCCAGTGAAGGGGAGAATATTATCTCTTACTGCTGGGTAAATAACTCCACAATCAAATTGTTGTTTCTCTTAGAAATACTTCCTAAAATGATTTGTTACTACATTAAAATTTTATTATGGTCAATGTCTGAAAATCAAGTGTAATAAATAAAAGCCGATAAAACACTCAACAATTTTCATATTAAGAAAGGTTATGTTGCAGAACATTTTTGTTCTGTGATAGTTACCTTCTCGTAGCATATCCATTTTTGCTAAGTAGCAAAAACTTTCACATAGAACAGGTGACTTTAAGATTTCCATCAGATATAAGGTAGATTACCTAAATATCTTCAGTATGACTGGGAAGGATTTTTAAAATAATGTCTAGAGTAGCCATTGCCTCAAATGGGAATAAATGATGCGACCTAAAAAAACCATGCTCCATGAGTTTGTAGGCATTGCTTTTGCTGTACTTTTGCTGTACTGGAAATTTTGGCTGAAGGCAAAACATTGACAGGAGCCACAGAAAAGACCCACTTTCTTTTGTTACAAAACAATCTTTTGTAATTAGAGAAATCATCTCATCTCTGGATCTTGGTTAATTTTTTAGCCATGTAAATCAGTTGCCAGAGCCAGATCTCCATCCTGGGTGGTCCTGCCTCCAGTCTTAACATTGCAGTGGGCATTCAGTTATCACACTTTCAAGCCTCATGCAGCTGGGCAAGATCAAAAAAATCCAGAAGCACAGATTTTAGGATGCTAGTATAGGACAAGTGCAGCATTTTGGAAGTAATAGGAGTTTCCCAACCTCATTTATTGTGAGTTCATTAATTGTGAATACTTTGAAACACTTGAAACACTTCTTCCCATATTTCTTGTCACTTGGGCTAAGTTGACATTTATAAGATAAGTTGTCAATTGATTCATCAGTTAGTATCTCTTGATTGTTTATATCTGTATTCTATTCTATTCCTTTTCCAACACCGCTCACCCCAACCCCCAGGGTCTCTTAAACATTACCGGAGGTCTGATACTGCAGTTTTGAGATAATGTTTATGCAGAATACAACTCCTCATTCAATTGCAGTATTTCAGCCATCAGACTCATCCCTTTATTAGGCCTTTCCCAGCTTCTCTTACTTTGGGCATCAGTGCACAGTAGAGGCAGCAAAGGCTACAAACAGGAGATCAGAGAAATACAGGAATTGTCATTCCTCCAGGGATTCTGCTGAAAACAAGAGGAAAAATTACTGAAAAAAATATTTTGAAGACTTTACTCTGGTTGGCCTGAGTTCTTTATATTTTTTATTTGAGATAAAAGTATCATTTAATTGGTATATCATCTACTTTGTCCATGAGGCTTGCAAGGACCGTACATAGACCCAGCTGCTAGAGAGGCTCCATTTATATTCCCAGCAGGTTCACTGCTTTCTGCAAATTTTGCACAGTTACATTGCAAGCAATTCAATACTGGGATTTGCTGTCAACAAAAGAAGGGAAGACCTCCTGGTACTTCCTGTCTTTAAACAACTAAAGTTGTTTTTTTTTTATTTCTTAAATGGTATTGATTCATAAGGCTAATGATTGACTTCATAAACGTGTTCTTTGTGCTTTCTTGTGGATAGAATGCCTTGGAAAATTACAATTATCTATATCTAAAATGCTTGAAATATATTATATTGCACAAACCTGCTGTCAAACTCATGCTATGTGCAAAAAAAAAAAAAAAAGCAATAGAAACACATGCCGCCCTCCTGGGTAGAGGACAGGAAGTACTAATACTATGGCAATGAAGATGACTAGTGAATCTGCATATGAGGCTGTCCATGGAATGCTGTATTCACTGTTCAAGCCATTTGTTGAATGATCTTGTCTCTTATCTGATTGAGCTTTGTGAGATTTCTCTATTTTTATAGCATACACAAATTAAAAATCCAGAGAGCAAGAGGCAAAAAAGAACCTGAGTGCTGCCATTCAGATAAGCTAGAACTGAGGACTCTATACCAGGGGTGAAATCCAGCAGGTTCTAACAGGTTCTAAAGAACTGGTAGTGGAAATTTTGAGTAGTTCAGAGAACCGGCAAATACCACCTCTGGCTGGCCCCAGAGTGGGGTGGGAATGGAGATTTCACAATATCTTTCCCCCAGGAGGGGAGGGAATGGAGATTTTGTAGTATCCTTCTCCTGCCACACCCACCAAGCCACACCCACAGAACCGGTAGGGAAAAATTTTGGATTTCACCCCTGCTCTATACTAAAATTACTTCCCTATACACATATTAAGTAATAGATATGATATATACCATTTTGTAGAGTATAGAAGTCACTTCAGTGCCATAAATAGGTATAACGCCATTAGCTGCCATTTTCCAGATGACCACAATTCAATGTGGCCTGCTATGATTTCCTAACCTGAGCTCCACTGCATTCTTCAGCATTGTGGAATGCTACAAAAGGCTGCAGAATGCTACAGAGCTTGCATTAGGGAAACATAGCAAACTGCTTCATTGGAGTTTGCTAGATTGGCCACTATGTTCTGCAACGACAATTCGCTTTGTTGCGAAGGTTGTGGAGAGTGTGGTTGCGCGACAGCTCCCACAGTTCCTGGATGAAACCGTCTATCTAGATCCGTGCCAGTCCGGCTTCAGGCCTGGGTACAGCACGGAGACGGCATTGGTCGCATTGGTGGATGATCTCTGGAGGGCTCGGGACAGGGGTTGTTCCTCTGTTCTGGTCCTGTTAGACCTCTCAGCGGCTTTTGATACCATCGACCATGGTATCATGCTGCGCCGGCTGGAGGGACTGGGGGTGGGAGGCACCGTGTTGCGGTGGTTCTCCTCCTATCTCTCTGACCGGTCCCAGTCTGTGTTGGCAGGGGGGCAGAGGTCGACCTCGAGGCGCCTTGCTTGCGGGGTGCCGCAAGGGTCGGTCCTCTCGCCGCTCCTGTTCAACATTTATGTGAAGCCGCTGGGTAAAGATCATCCGTGGTTTTGGGGTGCGATGCCATCTGTACGCTGATGACACTCAGCTGTACATTTCCACCCCAGACCACCCCAATGATGCCCTCGAAGTGATGTCCCAGTGTCTGGAGGCCGTGCGGGTCTGGATGGGGAGGAACAGGCTTCGGCTCAACCCTTCCAAGACCGAGTGGCTGTGGATGCCGGCGTCCCGGTATAGCCAGCTGGTGCCATCGCTGGCTATTGGGGGCGAGTCACTGACCCCCACAGAGGGGGCTTGCAACTTGGGCGTCCTCCTGGACACAGGGCTGTCTTTAGAAGAGCATATGACGGCCGTGGCCAGGGGGGCTTTTTATCAGGTTCGCCTGATACGCCAGTTGCGCCCCTTTCTGGATCGGGACTCCTTGTGCACAGTCACTCATGCCTTGGTTACGTCACGCCTGGACTACTGTAACGCTCTCTACATGGGGCTCCCCCTGAGGAGCACCCGGAGGCTCCAGCTGGTGCAGAATGCGGCCGCGCGGGTGATTATGGGAGCGACGTGGCGCTCCCACGTAACACCTCTCCTGCGCGAGCTGCATTGGCTCCCGGTGGTCTTCCGGGTGCGCTTTAAGGTGTTGGTTCTCATCTTTAAAGCGCTCCATGGCTTAGGGCCAGGGTATTTGCGAGACCGGCTGCTGCTACCGATAACCTCCCACCGGCCAATACGCTCTCACAGAGAGGGCCTCCTCGGGGTGCCGTCGGTCAGGCAATGTCGGCTGGCGGCCCCCAGGGGGCGAGCCTTCTCTGTGGGGGCACCCGCCCTGTGGAATGAGCTGCCTCCTGGAATACGATTGATCCCGGACCTCCGGACCTTCCGTAAAGCCCTGAAGACGTTTTTATTTCATCAAGCCGGCCTAGCCTAAATGGTCTTTAATTGGGATTTTAAATTTTATGGAATTGGGGTTTTAAATTTGGGTAGCCAATGATTTAATTCTTTTAATTATCTTAACTTTTGCATTTGTATGTTTTTTAATTTTGGCTGTTCACCGCCCTGAGTCCCTTCTGGGAGAAGGGCGGTATACAAATTAAATTAATAAATAAATAAATAAAAAATGTGGCCACCATTTTAACTCAAGTGGTAATTCTTATTTCTATTTAGCAGTAATCAGTTGGATTTTCCTTTATCTTTGTTTGAACACTGTGACCAGACTACCCTTATCAGGAACTGCCATGTCCAATGCATATTTTACCCAAGATGACGATACTCTATCCTATTCTTGAATATATGTTGAATAATTGACAATTGATTTCAGGAAGCCTTATAACTCAAGTCATTACTTTTATTCTGATATGAAGAAGCATTTAGAAGGGGTCTGGTCCAGTGGTGGGATTCAATTTTTTTAACAACAGGTTCTGTGGGCGTGGCTTAGTTGGGGGTGTGGCTTGGCAATCATGTGACTGTGTAGGCGTGGCTAGCTGGTCATGTGACTGTGTAGGCGTGGCTAGCTGGTCATGTGACCTGGTGGGCGTGGCTATGTGCATAGGGACTATTCAGAGGGCTGAAAAAAGTCATTTCTGACTGGTCCTCGCACTTTTGATCGGTCTTCACACTTATGACCATCCTCACATTTATGCCCGTGCAGCATTCTTAACAACCATGTCAGTCATTTCACCACTACTTCTCTTCACCATGGTGACAAGATAGGGCGCAAAACGTAAAATGTGAGGACAGTTGTAAGTTCAAAGACTGGTCAAAAGTGCGAGGACCAGTCAAAAATAACTTTTTCAGCCCTCTGAGTAGTCCATTTACTACCGGTTCTGTGGGCGTGGCTTGTTTGGTGGGCGTGGTTTGATGGTCATGTGACTGGGTGGGCGTGGCCAACTTGACATCACTCACGTCAAGGGTTAGAGTTAGGGTGCTTGGCCTCTCCTCACCTCAAAGGCCTCAACGAGATACAATTTCCCTGTCTATTTATTTACTACTACTGAGCATCCAAAATATACTATTTAATCCTATGTACATATGCCATATGTGTACATACATATTACATAGTAGAGAGTGTATATAGGGACACAAAAGGATACATTACCTACTATATATACTGTATGTGTATGTACACACAGAGAGCTCTTTTAAAACTATACACATTCAACCTCACTTACTACATTTGGAAAAACACACCCAGAATACACTTTCTGCCAGACATTTAACTATAACTTCTATACATTTAGAACATTACACACACCTTCAGATATTCTTCCCTATCTAGCTTGCACATGACTGTTAGAGCCAGGAGAGGTCATGGATTGAGTAAAATGTGGTGAAACTCACTTAACAACGCTCTTGTTTAGCAACAAAAATTTTGTGCTCAATTGTGGTCATAAGTCAAGGACTATCTCTGCCTTCGTCCACATGGCAGCCTTGTCCTAGTAAACTCCTTTTCCTTTCTGGCAATTTTCCTCTCTGTTGGAGGCACCAAAACAATCTAGATAATATAAGGTTTCCTGCTGGAGCAGGGGGTTGGACTAGATGGCCTCCAAGGTCCCTTCCAGCCCTAGATTGCTGTCCTGTTTCAAAGCATCTTCTGAAACCACGTCTAGTGCCATGGTTTGTGGTCCTTCCTTCCTGCCTTTCTCTTCTTTCTTTCTCTTTTTTTCTTTCTCTCTCTCTCCCTTCCTTCCTTTCTTCCCTCCTTCCTTCCTTCCTTTCTTTTTCTTTCTTTTTCTCTCTTTTCTCTCTCTCTCTTGCTCCCTCCTTTCCTTTCCTCCTTAAATGCCAGCAAAACCCACTACTTTGCTCTTAAAATGGTCTAGGGCAGAGCTCCCCAATCTTGGCAACTTTTAGACTTGTGGACTTCAACTCCCAGAAATCCTCAGCCAGCAAAGCAAAGCAAAGCTGGCTGAGGAACTCTGGAGTTGAAGTCCACAAATCTTAAAGTTGCCAAGGTTGGAGACCCCTGCCCTAGGAAAACAATCCACGTTGCTAAAATAAACAAACAAACAAACAACCCACATTGCATCTGTTTTAGGGGAGGAGGTTCAATTCATTGCCCAGTTGAAAGACTGAAATGAAATGCTCCAAGTTGACAGCATTGCTTCTAATGACATTCGGCTCCAGATCAGATCTGGCTTTTTTTTTTTTTTTGCATGAAAGAGGAACACATAGCGAATGAAAACAAAAAGCCTCCAGCCTCCGATGTGAAACAAATTAAAGCCTCTTTCTCTCCTTCTCTCCCCCACTCCCCCTGCTTCCCTTTTACCTTTGGTTAATGCTCTGGAAGTTTTTCTCTCCCAGGCAAGCAGCAGCAGAGGACAGAAGCAGCAGCCACTGACTTGCAGACCACATGGAGCCATTCACGTGTTCTCCGGCAAGCTGCTTTCTCCATCCTGATCTCTTGCGTCCAGAGCCAGTGGGGAACCACGTGGCAGCCCACGTGGATCCCAGGCAGCGGAACTCAGGCTAGGGAAGGGGTGGGCAATTGTGGCACTTTTACAACCTGTGGCCTTCAGCTCCCAGAATTCCTGAGACAGCCAAGCTGTCTCAGGAATTCTGGAAGTTGAAGTCCACAGGTTGTAAAAGAGCCACAATTGCCTACCCCTGGCTAGGGTAGGCTGGCGCCGCACGGGTGGGAGGCGGGGCAGGGCGAGGGGCGGGCGAGCCAGCAATTTAACAAACGGTTTGGTGTGCTGCGGGGCCAATAAATTACAAAAAAACACCAAACCGTTTGTTAAACTGCTGGCTCGCTCGCCCCATTTTATTGGCAATAAATAGTAGTGCGGAGGGGCGGGGCAAGGGGCGGGGCGAGCCAGCAATTTAACAAAGGGTTTAGCCGAACCCCCTAGAACCGGCAGAATCCCACCACTGGTCTGGTCCCATGACCTCATATAGTAGGAGGACCCAGATGGAAGAGAAATAGCAGTAGGTTGCTTAGTGGAAAATACTTTTTTAGCCATCTAGGACTTGTTCCCTCAATTGATTTGCATTAGTTATAGGTGAAGTACTGTAGCTCCTTTATGAGACTTCAGAATCCATTGAAATACTACTATATAAGCCATCAAACTCAGTCAAGCATACAAAAATGGTAATACCTAGAATCATAGAAATTATAGATCTTTGCCTTACTATTTACTTCGTTTGATGGATATACAAACAAATCAGAGGAGTCTATGACATCATTCATCTTAGCATTTACAGCAGGGATAGTCATATAAAATGTGAAGCAATAGCCCTCTCACACATACAATCAAAATATGGCTATATTATATGGACAACACCTTTGTCATAAGAGAAAATGGCAATTAGAAGATACATACAACGTAATAACATCTTTAATGGAATCAAATTCACAAGAAAAAAAAATAACAGACTACTGTTCCTTCATATAAGCAGAGAAAAAAAGTGACACTTCAAACTCATATATATAGAAAAACAATACAGACAAACCAAGTGTTGCACTATCAGCACAGCTGCCCATGAGAAAAGCTGAATAAAATGAGCAAGAACACACTGCAGTGATACAGAATTTAAAAGGGGAAAAATTACCTTTATGACACGCTTCAGTGTAATGGGTACCCATGTTATGCAGGAATTTAGGTGTGACTCGGTAGAAATAAAAGATGGAGTCCTGGTGTCTCTTGATAAGCCAAACATGTTTATTTAGCTGAACAAAGGTGTGTTCTCCCTTAAATTGGAAGAACCCTAAACACAGTGTAAGGCAGATATATATAGATTTCTTACTTTTACTTAGTTACATACCGTAGGAGGAAGCTTGCACACAACGGATAAGGTATAGAAGTTATAAGAATACTCAAATACACTTTTTGTGGTTTTGGTCATGTGCTTACCTCATAGGCTTGTTGTTTCTTGGGGAACTTTCCACAGCCTCGAAGGCCTACTGAGGCCTGAACTTTAGTTCTGCCATCTCAACATATGTACCTTTTAACCAGTCATCAAACTCACCAGATTCCTGATCAACACCCACTCAACTTCATTAAAAAGTGCCTTTCAATATAGCCAATCAGAATGCCACCATCAGAACTCATGAAAAGAATCATTTTCCCATCATCAAAATGGTTCAGTAACTATCAACAGATTACTTCAATGTGTAGGCATCACATTGGCCTACAAATCAAGAAAATATTTTCAAAGCATCTGGAGTCAAACTCAAGAGTTCCAACAATGAGAGAAGGCAGAACAGGAACTATTTACAATATGCAATACAAAGATTTAAAAATCATGTAGGAAAAACAAGGAAAAGAACATGCAGTGAAAAGACAGGATGAAAATTCTTTAGTTTCATGGCAAATTGACAAATGTAGCCACAAATTCAACTAGGAAATCAAACTAAAGTCAAGAATGCAAGAGAATTTTAAAAGCCTGGCATTCTGACAGATCAACTACTATCTAAAGATACAAACCTGGTGTGTAGAGTATTCAAAAAACAAGAACCCAAGGAAGAAACAAAGAGCCTAGAAACATCTTTGCTAATCACACATCCAGCAATTTTCATCAAGATAGGAGCGGTCCAACATTAGACAAACAGTAGACAAACAATTTATTTATTTTATTGAATTTGTATACTGCCCTACTCCCGAAGGACTCAGGGCGGTGAACAGCCATAGAATAAAACATATAAATACAAAATTTAAAATAGACTAAAACGAATTAAATAATTTGGCTGAACAAATTTAAAACCCCAATAATTTAAAACCAAATTTAAAATTTCCATTTAAAAGGGGAAAGACTTAGGTCAGGCCATCTTGATGAAATAGGAAAGTCTTGAGCGCGCGCCGGAAGGTACGCAGATCCGGGATCCTCCGTACCTCCGGGGGGAGCTCGTTCCAGATAGTAGGTGCTCCCACAGAGAAGGCTCTCCCCCTGGGGGGCCGCCAGTCGACATTGTTTGGCCGACGGCACCCAGAGGAGCCTCTCTCTATGGGAGCGTACTGGTCAGTAGGAGGCTATTGGTGGTAGCAGGCGGTCCCGTAAGTAACCAGGTCCTAAGCCATGGAGCGCTCTAAAGGTGATAACCAAAACCTTGAAGCGCACTCAGAAGACCACGGGGAGCCAGTGCAGCTCGCACAGGAGAGGTGTTACATGGGAGCGCCACGTCGCTCCCGTCACCATCCGCGTGGCCGCACTCTGCGCCAGCTGGAGCCTCCGAGTGCTCCTCAAGGGGAGCCCCATGTAGAGAGTGTTACAATAGTCCAGGCGGGAGGTGACGAGGGCATGAGTGACCGTGCATAAGGAGTCCTGATCTAGAAAGGGACGCAACTGGCGAATCAGGCGAACCTGATGAAAAATCCTCCCGGTCACGGCCGTCAAGTGCTCTTCTAAAGACAACCGTGAATCCAGGAGGACACCCAAGTTGCGAACCCTTTCCATGGGGGCCAATGATTTGCCCCCAATAGTCAGCGATGGCACCAGCTGACTATATCGGGACGTCGGAAACAGGGCCGGATTTAGATGAAAAGAGGCCCTAGGCCCGTGATGGCGAACCTATGGCACGCGTGCCACAGGTGGCACACGGAGCCATATTAGTGGGCATGCCAGCTCAGCTCTGGGGCGCATGCGCACACTGGCCAGCTGATTTTCGGGCCTTCTGGGCCCACCAGAAGTAGGGAAACAGGCTGTTTCCTGTCTCTGGAGGGCCTGGGGGGGTGGGGAAGGCCCGTTTTTCTTTCTTACCTGGTTCCAGATCCTCTCTATTTATCTGGGAAGGGCGAAAACAGCCTTTCCCACTCCCTTGGAAGCCCTATGGAGGCTGAAAGGACCCATTTCCTGACTCCCGTGGGACAGGAAGTGACATTTTTTGCTGCCCCAGCCTCCAGAGACTCCTAGAGAGGCTGTTTTCGCCCTTCTCAGATAAATAGAGAGGATCTGGAACCAGGTAAGAAAGAAAAACGGGCCTACCAGACCATCATGTGCCAGGAGCGGGGGGGGGTTGCGCACGCATGCGCATGGGCATATGCGCGCACGTCCCTCCCCCACCCCGCCTCTCCTGGCACGCGATGGCAAAAAGGTTAGCCATCACTGCCCTAGGCTATTCCACTTATGAGGCCCTTTCACCTATAGTGAAAGTGTAATTTTAATTTTGCTAACAATTTGAATGTAGGCCCCTCTTGATCTTGAGGCCCTAGGCTGAAGCCTAGTTAGCCTATAGGAAAATCCGGCCCTGGTCGGAAAACACAGCCACTCGGTCTTGGATGGGTTGAGCCTGAGCCTGTTTCTCCCCATAGAGATCTGTACGGCCTCCAGGCACCGGGACATCACTTCAAGGGCATCGTTGGGGTGATCTGGGGTGGAGATGCACAGCTGGGTGTCGTCAGCATACTGATGGTACTCCACCCCGAAACCACGGATGATCTCGCCCAGCGGCTTTACATAAATGTTGAACAAAAGGGGCGAGAGGACCGATCCTTGTGGCACCCCACATATAAGGGGCCTCGGGGTTGACCTCTGCCCCCCTGTCAACACAGACTGCGACCGGTCGGAGAGAAAGAAGGAGAACCACCGTAATATGGTGCCTCCCACCCCCAACTCTTCCATCCGGTGCAGCATGATACCATGGTTGATGGTATCAAAAGCCGCTGAGAGATCTAACAGGACCAGGACAGAGGAGCACCCCCTGTCCCGAGCCCTCCAGAGATTTATGATAAAACAATATAACCAACAAAACCAGACAGGTGGATTAGAAGTTGGCACATAAACTACAATAATCCTGATCTATAGAGGTAGGATAAACTGCCAGGCAAACCCTCACTCCTTTGTGGCAGAGCATTGATGATATTAGTTAGTCTGGCAATGAAATTTTTGCAAAAAGAAAATCTAATTTAGCAAACATCAAGATCTCAACAATGGTTGGAAGTAGCTACAGTTACTTACATTAAAGTTATCTTGGATATTTTTCTCCTTGTTTAAAAGTTTAGCACTTGGAGTTGTATTACATAGTCAAAAACAATATCATTACATTCATATCATAAAACTGTTCAATATAGTGCTTATGTCATTATAATGACATCATAAACAAAATATATTTCCATGGACATTTTCTCTTTCAGAACACTCCATTGCATTTTCAGGATGCTTATTTCTGAAATGGGATGTGCAGTTTTCACATCAATTCAATGTCAGTAATGCAGTGACTGTGTCTCAATTGTCTTTTTAAAAAGGGTCCGCAACTCCCAGTCAAGTATCAGTCACTTGTCAAGAATTCTTATTTGCTATTGAGAATATGTAAATATCCTGTGAGTTAAATTTTGCTGATCCCCAGGAATAGATGTCATGGAAATGAAACATACCATACCTTCATGTTTTCAATTTTAATTTTAGACTTTAGATTTGTCCATGATTTACACATTAGAAGAGCTTTCTGAACTATTTCCTGAGATAATGTGTTAT